TCTTACAGTGAGATGGCCCTCATCTAGATGACAATACAATCCATAGGGTGGAGTGACCTAGAGAAAAGATCCCTGTGTGAGCACTCTTTCCATTTTATTCTTTCATTCGAAATCTCAGAACTGACTATGAAATTTGGCTTAAATTTTACAAACTAAAGTATTGCCCAAATAAAAATAATATAATGTAGGATTAAGGAGAGAATTCTGGAGTAATAACCACTTCCAATGAACTATACATATTTCCAACTAGCTGCATATATTTTAGAGGCAAATTACTCAGAAGACAGGACAGATAAGTTCACTTTATATTTTGGAGCTGAAGAAAATACATATGAAAGAGTAAAGGAAAAGGGTACGTCTATAAAGAAATACTTCATGTAGACCATGATCCCAAAGGCAGCTTTACTGTTAATATTTTCATAGCATTTTTCTATTTTAACTTTAACATTTATTTTTACATACTAATGTTTCCTTTCTCAGCTCTTTGATATGGCAGCTTGACATGAGTGTACATGTACTGCTGAAAATGATGGCACTGATATAGTTTTATATTTTATTTCCATTCCAATCATAAAGAAGCAGTGGAAGCAAGAAATGAACTGACTGGCCAGTGGCAGTGCTATGTCGAGAACCTTAGGCTTGGATGAGAACCCTAGGGTCAGACTAGGGTACCTTTTTTCCTGCACATTCCTTTTCAAATGTTGTTGTGTTGAGAGCTCCTGTCTCCTTTCAGAATTCTTTACATTCTCAGGTGTACCTTCAAGACACAGCTTCTCATCTCCCAACTTTTTATCTTTATGCTAGAGCACTGATTGGAGTCCTTCATGAATACTCTTCTTATTTCTTGCTTATGGCTTATTGCTGTTGCAGCCCTAACCCGCATTTTGACTTTATTCTGAGATAAGGTGTTTAGGAAGTAAATAAGGTTAAATAAAATCATAAGGTGGGGTCCCAATTCCATAGGACAGTAGAGTACTCAGAGGAAAAATCATTTGGAGATAAAGAGGCCATCTGCAAGCCAGGAAGAGAGCTCTTACCAGAAGGTGATCCCTTGCCAGAATATTGATCTTGGACTTTCCATCCTCCAGAATTATGAAAAAGTAAATGTCTGTTGTGGAAGCCACAGTCTGTGGTGTTTTGTTATGGTGGTTCGAGCAGACTAGGACACTTGTGTCACACACATTTTCCTTCCCCACCTTATCCTCAACCCCAACTGTGCCTATTTCCAAAATCAGAGATTGCGTTATCCTGGAAAATTGCTAATGAGAAGCAAAAATCCCAATCAAGATGCGAACTCTTAGAGACAGAATTTTCACCACAGTGTTTACTTCTTGGTCGAACTTATATGACCCAAAAAACTTAGCATTTTTCTGCATATTGGGTCATAGGATTTCAGTGTTGGGGAAGAAATAGAATGCAGGTGGGTTCTAGAAACTGCAAGAAATCTAAGAAGGGCGTAGTCCATTCTGTGACAGAAATCGTGTGTGGTGCTTTGCATTATCCACCCCCACCTGTTGCTGGGACTTGCTACGGGAAGTATATCTCCTACCTCCCTGTCCCCTGGTCACATTGACCTTTGTCCTTCACTTGTTTGATCAGTGAAACATGAGCAGAAGTAACAGGGTGCAGTTTTGGCAGAAACTTTAATAGCCACTACTGGTTTTTCCAGTTTTCTTGTTCCTTTCTCTATGACAAGAGAATGTTATGTCCTGAGTAGGGTTGTTTTTCAGACTGGATCCTGAAGTGAGAGGCTGTATATAAAAGAGCCACAACTAACCCATCGCTACTGACGTGTGCTGGAAGCCACTGAGACTTAGGACTTTGTTACCACAGCCTCGCTTACCAAAAGATAACTGATATTAACTGATATTGTGTATTATGAAGTGTCTGGACAGCTAGATCAGATCATGGAGGGTCTTGCAAACTAATATTTAGATTTGATTTGACTGGCAAGAGAAAAAGCACAGAAACGTTTTAAGGAGGGAAGTATGAGTTTTATTTTAGTTTTCTTTAGTTTACTTGCTCATTTTTGTTGAGTTATATTGAAGGTACAAAGGTAGATGACTCAAAAAATTAAACAGTACTAAAAGCCTTGTAATGAAAAAGAGTGGTACCCTTTCCAGAATGTAGGTCCGATTTCCCAGTGGCAAAGAAGTTTAATGATTTATTTTGTACATCACATCATATATCCTCCATATTTCTTAATTGTTTGTTCGTAATGCCTTCTTTACTCATACATTTTAAATGTTATTATTACTTTTACTTAGATAGATGTGGCAGTTATGTTTTTTAAATGGCTGAAAAATCTTTGACATTCTTCCCATTGAAAATTGGGGTCTATGTTTCCTCAGGAAATCTGGATAAACTCACACCTTGCTTGTAAAGAACGCCATGTAACAGAAGGTGCATGACTTCGGAGGCTAGGTATGGCTACATGAAGGTGAGTCTCAGAGCTCTTGCTGTGGGGAGCAGAACTGAAAGCCGGGCTCAGCCTCTGCTGGATGCACCTCAGTGTTCTCCCTGAGATGATGCTTCCCATTTGCTGCTCTCAGCCAGTGACTGAATGCAGTAGGGATAGTATTGACGGGCTGCTTCCTGTCAGAGGTGGGGCTCCTTTGATAGGCAATTTTGGCTGAAAGACTTCCCATCAGCTTGCTCTAAAGCTTCTTCAAATTGTCCTGCAGTCAGAGATTCTGCCTATCTGCCTTCTTTCTTTCCCTCCTTCATAGAAGTCAGACCTGCATTGCCATCTGAAACTCACTGTGCCATTGGCTTCCTCCACGCCCCACCCCCACCACAGGTATTATCATCCAATAAATAAATGTCTTGCACATCTAATCCTCATCTTGATGTCTTGATGTAAAAGCTGCAAACTAACCACTGGGTCAGAAAAGGCAGTGTGGCTTTCTCCTTGTGTACAGGGCCCCTCTTTTGGAGCTCTGATCCACCATGTGTGAAGTGTGGCTATTCTCACACTGCTATGCTGGGTAGCAGAAAATGTAAAACATGGAGAGACAATGTGAAGGTTCTTCATTGACTGCCCCAAGTGAAGGCTTAGCTGACATCTGGGCTCAGTCACTAGACGTGTGTGAGAAGATGCGGCTACATGATTCCAACTCCTGGCCGTTGAGTTACCCCCAGCTGCTCAGTCTCTCTGAGACTCTAGTCATTGTATATTAAAGGGGAGCCATTTCTTTCCTTTCTTTCTTTCTTTTTTTAAAATTTTTAATGTTTATTTACTTTGAGAGAGAGAATGACCAGGGGAGGGGCAGAGAGAGAGGGAGACAGAGAATCCCAAGCAGGCTCTGCATTGTCAGCGCAGAGTCCCATGCAGGGCTTAAACTCACGAACCATGAGATCATGAGCTGAGCTTAAATCGAGAGTCAGACGCTTAACTGACTGAGCCACCCAGGTGCCCAAGAGGAGCCATTTCTGCTACGCCATGCTGAAATTCTTGACACGTAGAATCAGATTCAGAATAAAATTATTTTTTAAGCCACTAATTTGTGATTGGTATTTGTGCGTTGTAAATTTAGCGAAGTTTACCTAGGGAGAGGATGTGTCCTTGTGCCAAATTTTGCACTTGTATCTTCGAGGTACTCCAGGGGCATGTATATGGGGATATTTCTTTTTTTCTTCTTTTTTTTCTTTAATTGATTTTATTTTCTACATAAAAAGTTCAGTAAAAATTGGGTAATGTAAAATGATTTTAAGCAGTAAATCAATCTTATCAACATTGCACAAGGCTGGCAGAAACCACAAAGCGGCCTGCTTTGGAATATTTACATGATAACAAATTAAAGTAGGAGAACTTAAACCTTCATTACAAAGTTGTCCTGTGATCTAGCACATAGAGGCTAAAAGCAAAATGAAAAACAAACAGAACCAGGAAAAAATAAACCAATTATTTTCAATATATTCATACGCACATTAAAATATAATACAGATCATCTGGGTGAGGAGTTGTGAGTGGGGATGCACATGGTCTGTGTGCTGACAGCACCTCCAAGGAGGAGACCCAGGTTTGGGAGTGGGGCTGGGCCTGGCCAGGATCTTAGCAGGGTCATTCCCTAAGGCCTTGCCTGCGATGGCCTCCAACACCCCAACAGCTCATGACTGGAGATGGCTCATTTTTGTGGCTTTCAATTGAAATCTGCAGGTCTCAGTTTCCCAGGGCAATGTGTCACAGTAGCACAGCCCTGACCAGAGGGGTGGGACAGCAGGCCTGCAGGGTTTCTTCTCCAGAGACTCTCCTAGCTGCTCGCCTGTCCTCCCACCCTGGTCCCACAAGTCACTAATTCAGTGTCTTCTTTGGGTTTGTAAACAGCCCCAGTCTTACGACGTACTTCTTAAGTACTCCTTGGTTTTACGTTTCACGTTCTCATTGTACTCCAAGTCCCTAGGGTTCTTATGGTACTTAGCACTTTATTCATAATGCTGTGGGTCAGCTTGTGAGCTAGGTGTTTGAAGTCTTCAGTTGTGGTAATTCTTCCCACTTTGCATTCAGGTTTCCAGTAAGGGTTCAAGTACTGGACCATGAACTGGGGCATCTCTTTTCTGAATACTTCTTGGCTTTTCTTAGCCAGCTCACTGGAGGAGTCTGCTTCTGCTGTCTTAGGCTTTTCTGAGGTCTTCATGGGATTTTCATCATATGTTGAGGTTCCTAGGTCCATCTCAGCTTCATGCTCAAGCCTGGCATCATCTCTTGGGCTTTCCCAAGTAGGAGGATCCCACTGAGTTTGCCTTGTGATCACATGGTAGTATAAATCTTCCCTTCTGGATCTTGGGATGTCTTCCAGTTGGGAGGCCTTACAGTTTGTTTGGGAGGAAAGGGAGTTGGCAGATCCAGGAGATAATTTGTCATTACCATTTCAGGTGGCTGTAAAGGCCGAGCCTGCCTTGTTGAAACTATTGTAGTCTTGCTGTGGGTGGCTATCCCACTACCCTTTGTGGGTGAGCTGTGAAAATTTGTTGTCCCTGGATGCACTGAAGAGTTGGCTGGGCATAACTCTGTAAGACCAGTGGATTTATCTATGAATAGGGTGATGTCATGCCATAGACAGTTGGACAAGTCTGTCCTTGGTAATATATGGTTGCTTGAGACCGTAGGAGAGTACTATTGCTGGACACTGACAGACTGTTGGTTTGAATCTCAAACACCATAATTCTGTGCCTGCACTGGGCCTGGGGCTGGCACTGGCAAGACGGTGATGCCGGAATCTTGGGGAACCACCATCACTTTGCATCACACACTGTGAACCAGAAACTTCCCATGGGCTGCCACGTGTGGCACACTGGCACAGGTGGAGGGGCAGTGAGGGCTTCTATACAATGTTCCACCAAGGGCTGAGAATGATCGTAAGGAGCAGGAGAACACACAGGGTCCATACTAGGGGTGGGGAGGAGGACCCTTCCAGCATTAGGGTTGCTGGGATCCACATAGGTCTGCATGGATAACCTGATGGGTAGCCAGCAAAGGGGTGATGAGGAGCTTTGTAGCCAAAAGATTCATAAGGCAGTGGAGATGTCATTCCCAGGTTCTACACCTGCTGCTGTTGTTTCTGAGCTTCCCACTGAGCCACCTCTTGCTCAAACAACTTCCAGTGCTCCTCTGTAGAAAGTTCATTGTGGTCTTTAAATTGTACTTTCTTTTTAGAAGTTGATGTTTCATATCGGCCGTCTGGTCTTTTTGTTCCCACTTGTAGGCAGAAGAAGGTGGATAGAGGGAGCCCCTTCATCTCCTTTTCTCTTCTTTGAGTTTCCTTGTCTAGATCTATATCTCTTGACTTGTTAGAAGTCTTGGGGTGGCTGTTTGATCTCTGAAATCAACAACATCCCTTCGTTTTACAGTTATTGTGTTCCCCTTTTCAGTTTAACTTTTCTTTGGAATTCGATATACCTCCATTAGGTCTTCCAACTGTCCAGGAACTTGGCCAGATCACTTATATCTACTGTTTTACCAGTCCGTTCTTGGCCCTTCTCACTCTCCGCATCAGATATACCCTCCTCTTCATCTAGGGTATATCTCCTTAGCAACGGTGTCTTCCAGTTTTATACTATTGCCCTCTTAGGCTTATTGGCTTCCATGGCGATTCACTTTCAACTTTAGATTCAGGCAGCTGTTGTGGCTATTGTGACTGTACCTCTTCCTCTTTGTCTGCAGGGATGCTTTCTAACTAGATATGGGCTATTTCTGATCTTAGTCTTCAACATGCTGCTTCTCAGAAAATGTATGTGTATGTATATATATATACACACATATATATACGTTTCACATATATATGTGTATATATGAATATGCACATATATATGAGTTAAGTTGGTGGTTATATATATATTTTTTCCACACCAGAGACCATTACAGACAGAAACCTCTACTGAAGCAGTTCCAATGTTAGCCGATATGCTTACCGCAGGATTTTTTGTTTGTTTTAAATTGTTTTCATGTTACCTATTGGTAGAAATGGAAGTGGTCCCTAAAGTCGATGATTGATTCATTAATGAACCTTTGGTTGAAAATCATTTTCTCTCAGAAATCATTATTCTATTGTCTTTTAGCACTAAGTATTACTTTTGAGAAGTCTGGCTATTCTGAACATGGACCTTTTTCTAAAGTGTTGCCCTAGCCTGGCTTCCTGTCCTTCACCATTCTACTCCCACTTTACCCTTTACAATTCTTCCTGGGAACCCACCCTTAATCAATCACTTATATACGCCTCCACTTCTCAGGGTTTGCTTCCTGAAATCACAGGTAACACAGGTGGTAGGGTCAAATGTTTTATCCTCCAAGAAATAGGCATTTCAAAGAAGAATACAAAGCCATTGAGGTGCAGAGAGGTCACTAAGTAGACCCTTGATTCTTGAAGTAATTCGAGAAGGAAAGGATAAGAGAGCATAAGAAGTTTCATTTGAGAAGGCCAAAGAAGTGCATTTTTAAATCAAAAACATTGTAGAGTCTCTATACTGTTCTTTCAGACATCTGCTTTTGGGGCGAAATTTTAGCTTCTACCATCTCATATATACTAGCTTGACACCTTTGTTCTTGTCTCAAGTTCTGGAATAGCCTTTGCATTCTGATAGGTTATTGTTAATAACGTAAATATATTGCAAAGTCTAATCAAATTATTCAGTGTCTTGCTTTTTGTTTATCAAATAAAAGATCACAAGCTTCAGATACAAGAAATTTATTGAAAAGCTTTCATGTGCATCTAAACACCTACTACTTCATTTTCCTCAGGACATTAATCTTTCTATTTATCATCTTTGCTTTTTCATACATTCAGACCCTGGCACCTTATCACAAATTCATAAGAACACAATAAGAACAATGCTTGCTTATGCCTGTGCTGTGACAATTTGTTACCACCTCCCCAAAGAGGAAGACATTCAAAGGTTCCACTTTAAACCATGTTTTCAGTAATATTCTTCACTTGCTATTATCTTTCTTTTATTTTCAGTATTCATAGTTGCGTATGGAGATATTATTCCCACTGTTCATTACAGTTCCTGCTGTGCTTGAAAGCTAGTTCCTGACAGTTCACAGTCACTACTGTGAGAAGAAACTAGGGCTCCCAAACTCTAAAAGGCCTGCTCAAGAAGAAAAATGCTTATATGTTTTATTTCTACCATCTTCCAACGTTCCCACTGCTGATAAAAGATAGAAAGAGGACAAACGAAGGATGAATTTCATGATTACATTTTGGTGCCGGTGCAGATCTCCCACTGGGATGTATCTCCCACCTGACAGGTGGTCTATTCTGCTCAAATACCACTGAGCTGGTGAACTTAAGCAAAAACATATGACCCATCTCTCAGACCTCAGAACAGCAGGATTCACATAGCCATCTGAAAATCTCAAGTTGAAAATCTCTTCTGTAATATCTTTATTAACTGGTGCATCTGATCTGTCCACTCACAACCTTCTGTGGATGATGAAGGCTCAGATAACAGAATGAGCCCCCTGTTCCTCATGTTTTCTCGGAAAATCTCTCACCAGTGTCTGAAAGACTTCCAATGGGCTCTGATTTTAAACTTAAGAAAACCATACTTATATCAAGAAATCGCATGTGTAATCTTTCTTTAGATTAGAACCATTTTTAGTGTTAGTTTCCTTTGAGAGTTGATAATAAATACATGTTAAAGCTTCTCATTACAGGAGAAACAGAGAGTTATTGGCAAATTTCCAAAGTATTAGGAAAAGTGAGAATCTCTTCTTTGTAATAATTACATATAACAGTAATTAATGGTCTGGGACTTGTGTGATTAAATAGATCTCATACCTAGATTTTTCTGTAAGTCAATACACCTGAGTGTTTTCAGTTTCTAAACAGATCTACTTTCTTAATTCATATCGACCCCATTTCTTTTAAATTGTACCTCCAAGTATTTGAAGTTCTCCAAAGCGTATCTATTTTATCCTCTTTCCAACTCACAACAGAAGACATGTCAAGGTAATTAACTTTGATAACCTATTTAGCATAAAGTTATTACAGGTGAACAAAGAGCACAAAAACTTTCCAGAAAATCACCCAAAATCTTAAGATTCTTATTTAGAGCACACTTATTTAGATTCTTATTTATGAAGTTGCCATCTTCAAGCCTTGAATAATATCTATTGTGACAAAATAAATAAAGTTTTAGGTAAGTTCTTGAAAAAGTTTTATTTTTTAATTATTTGAATGAAGACATATTTTGAATAAATTGTAATGAAGAAAAAAATTCCATAGATGGGCTTGATCATCAGGTTTTCATTGCATAATTATAAGTGAATATTTTTCAGCCAGAGATCATCTATAATTTCAACTGTGCTAATACTTTCTGAAGTTATACTGGGTTTGATGATATTGGGTCTAACAGAAGAAGCACTCATTTTTGAGAAAGCCCTCAAGCTTTTGGTTACATGGCAACTTTACCTATCTATATCTCTATCTTCTCTCTCTCTCTCTCTCTCTCTCTCTCTCTTTTTAAATTTTAATTCCAGTATAGTTAACATATAGTGTTATAATAAGAGTTTCCTGTGTACAATATAGTGATTTAACAATTCTATACATTACTCAGTGCTCATCATGAAAAGTATACTCTTTTAAGTTTTTATTTAAATTCTAGTTTGTTAACATACAGTGTAACATTAGTTTCAGATGTATGATATAGTGATTCAGCCCCTACATACAGCACTTGGTGCTCATCACAAGTGCACTCCTTAATCCCCATCACCTATTTAACCCATTCCCCCACCCACCTCCATTTTAGTAACCATCAGTTTATTCTCTATAGTTAAGAGTCTGTTTCTTGGTTTGCCCCCCCCCTCTTTGTTCCTCTTTGTTCCTTTGTTTTATTTCTTAAATTCTACATATGAATGAAATCATATGGTGTTTGTCTTTCTCTGACTTATTTCACTTAGCATTATGCCCTCTAGATCCATTCATATTATTGCAAATGACAGGGTTTAATTTTTATGGCTGAGTAATATTCCACATCTATATATACCACATCTGTTTCCATTCATCTATTGATGGACCCTTGGGCTGCTTTCACAATTTGGCTTTTGTAAATAATGCTGCAGTAAACATAGGAATGTGTATATCTGTTTGAATTAGTGTTTTTGTATGCTTTAAGTAAGTACCCAGTAGTGGATTAATTACTGGGTTACATGGTTATTCTATTTTTAAGTTTTTGAGGAACTTCCATATTGTTTTCCACGTGGCTGCACCAGTTTGAATTCCCACCTGCAGTGCATGAGTGTTCCTTTTTTTTCCCCACGTTCTCACCAGCACTTGTTTCTTGTGTTTTTGATTTTAGCCTCTTTGACAGGTATGAGGTGATACCTCATTGTAGTTTTTATTTGCATTTCCCTGATGATTAGTAATGTTGAGTATCTTTTCATGTGTCTGTTGGCCATTTATATGTCTTCCTTGGAGATATGACTGTTCATGCCTACTGATCATTTTTTAATTGGGTTATTTGTGGGGGGCTGGTGTTAAATTGTATAAGTTCTTTATATATTTTGGATACTAACCATTTATCAGATATGTCATTTGCAAGTATCTTTTCCCATTCAGTAGGTTGTCTTTTAGTTTTCTTGATTATTTCCTTTGCTATGTGAAAG